AAATATTTTAAAGATATTGTTTGCGTTTTTATAATTTCTCGTCTGTGAAACTTTCATGGGAATTTATTCAGCCCTCGACCGCTCGGTTATTCTCGGAATCGACATTTATTATATTAAGGCAGGCACAACATACAATGCATATGCATCATCATTCAAGTTTCAAAACAAAAAGCTTTCTTATGGTAAATGTTTGGTCAATCACTTCTTGTTTTTTCATTCTGACTATAAGATGTAGATAAAATTAAATTTTTCTTATCATTATTCCTCACATATAGTGTGTAACAAATAAATCAGAATCTTTTTACTTTATGATAAATAATATAAATGTACCTTATTTGTATCCGATTAAATTTTCTAATATGGAAATAAATAATGAGGTTGGGGTTAAAACTTCGCAGGATTCCAATATGTATTGTTTATATTTTGCAAAAAAAATTGTCGTGAAAAAAAAATGGTATTACTCTCGGTGTATACAAAGGCAGTGTAAATTCATAAACTTACAAATATCCCTTTTCACCCATTTATGATAACCTAAATAGGTTAATACAGTGGAACATGCAGGGGCAATGGTCATCCAAAATATTACCGGAAATTTTTCAAAGACTCTTAGACAATCTGTCCGAAGAGATACTTGGATTTCCAGTTTTTGGCTGAAAAAAGTGTACCAAAGGGACTCGGTGCGTCATCACATGACCGATACTTTCTATAGCCCACAAGTTGAATGGAACAGCAACATAATATAATTGGAATCGAATCTTGTGTCCCCGATGAAATGGCTTTCAACTTATACCTTGAAGCATTGGTATAAATATGAACGACCATTCCTTCCCATGCCAAAATACAGAACAAAGATCTATTTGCATGGGTAGATGTTGTGTAAAAAACTAAACAAATTTGTTTTGCTTCTGACGAATCATGGACTCCAAAATCACACAAGCTACCTTGCTAAGGAATTTCTTTAAAATAATATCCCGGAAATCATGGACTGGCCTTCAAAAGCCCTAACTTAAATCCAATAGAGAATCTTTGAAAATCAATGTACAAAGACGAATGCCCAATAATCTCAGTGATTTTGAAAATGGAGGAATAAAGAAATATTCCGGAAATCTCTATAATTAATCTTGTGGGATCGATGAAATGGTGATTTGAGCTAAATAATGGAGAACGGATCTCTTATTAATTTTATATCATAAAATCAGCTTTCAAATAAAAATTTTCATGCGATTTGACGTGATCGTCATGGTGCAATCGCAATTTTAAGAATTTATTTTTTTTAAAGTAAATAATTTTCATCAGAATAACAAGTTTCACAAATGACTCCTCAACCAAGGTTTTGTCACGGTAGAAAATGTTGGGTTAAACAGCAGATCAATTTTATCACGCAAATAAAATAAATTTTTACTAAAACTTTTTACAAAAAATTTGAATGCGATGTCAATATTTAAAGCGAAATTTATTTTGAAATTATGCTTTTTATTTCAAGGAAAGAATCCAAATTGATTTTACATTGGTTGAGAACAAGTGTAATATTTTGTAATTAAGCGTTGTTGTTTTATCAGATATATTTATTGCATCACATTTAAATATTATAAAAATTATCATAACTAGGTTAGATCTCTATAATAGTTCTTAGAGACAAAGTTAAATTACTGTCGTTAAAGTATAAAGTCTTCATTTTGGTCTCATTAATTAGAATTATGATCACATATTTAAATATTTTTTTTCATTTATTAAAAAAAAAATTTGCAACCTCCAGTTCTTGGATCAAGTAAAGATCAAAATCACCTGAATTACAATAAAGATCAAATTGACCCAAAATTGAAAGAATACCTACCATATATTTATTTATCAAACTACATAAAAAAAAAAAATTAATTAATTTAAAATAAAATTATTATGACTTTTTGGATATGTATGGATAATGTACTTTATTTAATTCGTCATCATTTTGAAATAAAAGTAATCGTGAATGTATTATGTAATCATAATAAAATCATCCATCTCGTAAATCATGATAAAAAATAGGTTATAAAAATCAATGTATTAGGAAATTTACGTGAAAACTTTGAACTTTCAGAATGTTTCTCCGGCGCCACCACAAGTGGGGACTGGAATCAATTTTACTAAATCGATTATCGAAAAAAAATAGAATCTAATTTTTAATGGTTCAGTAAGTGCGGCTATAATAAAATTAGGGAGCCGTAATATAAATTATCCACCATCACCGCTGGACTTTAGAGTTCTTCAACCATTCATTCTATTTTATTAATAAAAATAAATCATTTGACATACACCTTCCGAAGAGATCTAACCCAAATGTGAAGAAATCTATAAAAGAAAAACAATGTGATTCAATTCAAAAGAGGAACCTTTAGAAAAAAACTAGATTAATGGTTATGGTCGGCCAGAGACCGGCCTTAATATTTGAAAGTAACGCATGTATTTTATTTAATTTTTTTAAATATCAATAATGATATAGATAAAGAATTTGTAACCAAGGAAGGAAATTACATGATTTTAGCTGCAAGATTCGAAGTATTTGACAAATTACTTTGTAGAGGAGGAGAGTTATGATAACGAATTTCTTTTTCAAAAATTAATTCTTCAGGAATGAATTTATACAGGAGTTATAAAGAAGAATCTTTAACTAAAGAAAATGTCGTAAACTCTTTTATTGCGACTACTTTCAACTGCCTGACCTTCAAGAATTTATTATGAAAAATGCTAAAAATAAAAAAAGAATTGCAAATATAATTATTTACTGGAATTATTATCTAAATTTGATATAGTGTTAAATAATATTTTTTCTAACATGATTAAATGACGTAACAGCTATTCTGCTACATACCATTGAATTTGGCCGGTTATCTAGTACAGCACTTCGGCCCTTTTATCTTGCATATATGAAGAGGACAGACCATTTGTAACCACAGTATATGAGGTGTTTCGATATGGTGTTATTTTAGTTGCAAGAGAAAATATTCAAGTTGCAACCAAAATCCCTTTTAAATTGTACAATGAGCTTATCTGAATCATAATTAAGTTGCTAAAGAATTAGCACACATTTGATAAAATATATTGATTACTGATGAATAACAATATTCCCAGTTGAAATGATTATAAATGTTTATCAACATCAGGTAATGTCAAATTAAATGAAGTTCGTGGTCTTGGCATACTGCCTTTGAGATGAATCAGCCATCTACGATCTCTTAAATAGTCACAGTAATTTACCACTTACTTATTGTTATATCTCTAGAAGTTGCGATTGTGTATTTTTAGTTCGTCCAGAATTTTTTTATTTATAATTAATTTGGCTATAGAATATTGTATACAGGCAGGCAATTTTTATTATATGATTTTTACTAGAAAATAATTATTATTTTAAATATAAATTTTATAATAGTTTTATTTTTAATAATAATTTTATTTTTATTTTTCTTGTTTGTATAGGAAGCGGTATAAATCTAACTGGTATATGACTTTGTTGTATATTAATAAGTTTCTTATCTGTGAGTAAAATTTAATTTTCCTTTGTAAAATTATTCCGCTGTGATAAAAAAAAAATTTAAAAATTAGCTTAAAATTATTATGTGATATCAGATAAAATCACTTATCTGGTACTTTGAGCCAAATTTCAGCTCAAATTTGATTTACCTAATATAATAGTTATTCGTCCCATTAATTATAGGTCGAAATTACCATTAAAAATCTTATTGGCTTAATTTGTTTAAGGAAAAGTGAAGTAAATGTTTAGAATATGAAAAAGTTATAGGATTTCATTATATTTATAATAACTTCATTTCTTTAATATATAACGTAGGTAATCAGTCAAATTATTAGCTTTATTGTATTAAAATATTTGACTACGCATATATTTAAGATTATTGCTGAGGTAAAGTTTTAGCACAAATCGGAATTTATTTTTAACACGTATATTAAATATAAAATTTAAATTTTTAATGCTGCAGTCACTTAATAAAGTAGAAGTGTGATTTTTTTATCGAAGTTTTAAAAAAATTTTAATTTCAAAAATTACTAAATTCTTTTTTATTTTTTTTAGTTTATTTTCATTTTTTTTATTTTAGGTTCAATTGGTTCCCTTTTTTAGGCCACTTCGTCACCGCAGAAAAGGTAAGCTGATTTAATGAATAATTTCTTTTTTTTAGTTTTTTTTATATTTTTTTTTAATTTTTTTTTATTTTAGGTTGGATTTCTTAAGCCAAGTACTGGACGGAACTTTTAAACAGAACCGTCTAGTTTATCATCGCGGCAAAGGTAAGCTAAGATTGGTGTTTTTTATTTGACTTATCTAGATTCATGGTCATGGTCGGCCAGAGGCTGTTCTTAATATTTGAAAGTATTTTATTTAAATTTTTAATTTGATTTTTAATAACTCGCAATGTTTTTAATAAATTTTGATTTTTAATTTTGACTTTTTTTTAATATTAGTTTTTTAATTATTTTCTTTTTTTTTCTTTTTTTTTAATATTTTATTTTTATTTTTAGGTTTGATCAGTTCCTTCCTTAGGCTAAGATCCCTTTGATGGAACTGTCCAGTTTGTCATCGCAGCAAAGGTAAGCTGACGATTTTTTTTATTTTGTATTTTACTTTTATTAATATATTTAGTTCTTTTTTTTTAATATTTTATTTTTATATTTAGGTTCGGTCGGGTCTTTCCCTTGGGCTAAGAACTGGACGGAACTTTCGAACAGAGGCAAAGGTAAGCTGACTAATTTTTTTTGATTTATTTTTTTTTTCTTTTTATTATTTTGGTAATTAGATCTGATTACAAATTTTATTTATTTAATTTTTTTTAGGCGATTTTAGGTTAGATCAGATCGGATTGGCGAATACACGTAACTAAAATTATTTTTTTTTAATGATTGTTCTTTTTTTATTATTATTCTCACTATTAATTTTATTTTTTAGGCTGAAATTATCAATTTTCGTTACCGCAGCATAGGTTTTTTGACATTTTTATTGGTATTTTAAATATTAGCATTAGTAATCATAATAATAACTAATTATTTTTTTACATTACATAATAAAAATTACAAAAAACTTTCTGTCCCAATTTTTTTTTTAAAAAAATCATATACAAACAACCGTTGTTCCTATCAATATTGATATTGAAATTGAAATTGATATTGATATTGATATTGATATTAATATCAATATAAATAAAAACGGCCCCCATAGTTACTGCATGAAACTAACCAAATTTATACCTCATTGGTCGAAATCAAAAAAAATCAGACATGCAAAAAATCGGCCTAAAATCAGCCTAAATTCAGCAAATTATTAAAAATCGTCCTAGCTGATTGGCATACATCAGAAATCAGCCAAGAATCGGCCAAAATTTGACCTATCTTATTTATAGCTGATTGGTATACTTATAGCCGATTGGTATACATCAAAAATTTGAACTATCTTATTTATAGCTGATTGACGTCCGATTGGAATGATTGTATTGTTCCTTAGTATAATAGTATTATCATTCCTTAAGAATGATAGTTTTATCATACCTAAAGTATAATGGTTATCGTTTCTAACATTTATTATATTTCTTAGGTATAATGATTTTATCATTCCTAAAGAATAAAAGTATTATCATATTTTAGATACAATAATTTATTATTCCTTAGATATGATTGGTATTATCATGCCTTAGATACAATTGGTATTATCATTTCTTAGGTATGATAATTACCGCAATTAAAAAAATGGCGCAATTGAGTTGCAACTTGTGGCACAATTAAGTTGCAACTCAATTGAAATTTGAAAATAATTCATCATATCTTAAAAATAATGGTTTTATTATTCTAACAAACCAAATTTTCAGATTAAACTTATATGCTAAAATAATATTGAATATTTTAGAGAACTTGCTAAATTAAAAGGATGATTTACTGATATTGATTTAATGCAATATTTGAGTTTATTTCTGTCATATATAGGAATATTTATATAAATAAGCTTATTTTTTTTATTTTTTAAAAATAATTTCAACTCAAACTTTATCTTTTTACAATCATTTCAAATTTTCTCTTTTTTACATATTATCAAAATGTCAAAAAAAACATCTTTAAGAATAAAAAGAACTTAAGTTGAATTTTAATCAACTTTTCAAATAATAAACTTTTTTTTTTACTTTTATAATAGAAAAAAGATAATTTGATAAGAAGGGATAGATTTTTATTTTTTATATTTTTAGACAATTTTAAAGGATTTTTGAAAGAAAATTGATCATATTTTTATTATTTTATTCTTATTTTTGAAAATAGTAATATTATGATAATGAATATTTAAGATGATTTTAGAAGGAAAATTTTTATTATTTTACATAGTTTTTCTGCTTTTTTGCTTATATTTTTTAAATAGAAAATTAATCAATAGGTTGTTGGTAATATTTTTTGTTATATTTTTACGAATTTATATTAGGTTTTTATTATTAATAAAATTTTAATATTTAATAAATTTAATAAAAAAATATATCAATTTTATATGCTTATTTGACTAAATTAATATCAAAATAAGGTCAATTTTAGGCTAATTATGATTGTTTTAAATTGATGCTAAATAGTTATGTCTAATTATAGTTGATCAACATTTATGTATGTTTGTGCTAATCAGAAAATATAACTAAAATCAGCCATCTGATTTCTAGCCAATTTGGATTATTTTAACTAGTAACATTTTGTATTTACTAAAAATTTTCTTTTTTTTTATATCTGCAGACTTTTTTTTAACAAATTTAAGAAAACTGAATAAATAAATAAATTAATAAATATAAAAATTAAATATCCACAACAATTAAAATCTATAACCAAAACATTTAGGTCACGCCTGCTAATAAAGCTAAATACTATCGTCTTGAATACTTGCTTGCTGATTTATCATCGTGGGAACCAGTTGATATTAAAGAATACCTACCAACTAATCCTGTGTAAGTAGTAGAAATAATATTATTAAGACTGTTAGTATAGAAATCTAACTAACAAACAATTTTTTATAGACAAAGAATGCGTTATATCCAAGGCTTATCTCATGCATTTCTTTTTAATATTAGAGAATATTGATTTAATTCTGGAAATAATTCTTTTAATACAATCTCAATCTGGAAAATCGACGAACAAGCTAATGAAATGTTAGTATTGTAAGAGAATATGCAGATTGTAAATAAATTGCAAGCTGATGCACCTCATTATTATACACAAGCAATGCGAATAAATTATTTACATACATGTGATCTGCTTCTTCTAAAAGTCAAGTCATCAGCACTTCAAATAATCTACTGAATGTTAACAGGTAATATCTCTGCTGCTGAAACTGAAAATGAACCAAAAGTTAATGAACGTGTTAGACTCGCTCTGAAACTTGAAGATCCAGAGACATTACCATTAATTTACATAAATATGGTAATAGAAGACTAAATAAATATGATATCTTTTGGAGAATTGCAGATCAATTTCTTGCAGGAAAAATAGCAAATACTGTAATTGCTGTGAACAAATGCAGGCATGATACAATCGTGCATCTTGTGACTGCAATCTCAATAATAATTTTCTGCATCAGATTAAGCGTAAGAGTTCACTTAAAATACTAATTTCTAGTGCATAATAGTTACGATTACAATTTTAGCCTAAAATCTAACAAGACTTAGTAGTTTACAATTCACTGATCACTTATTTCTAAAGTTCATAATTCAAACATGTCAGCTACGAGCTTACCATCCAGATGTTCATTATGCATCAATATTATTTCACTATGAAAAAGAATTTACTGTAAAGTTTAGTGAAATCACAAATTTAGTCTTTTTAGATGACAAACATCATTGCAAGGTTGGTGAACCTGAATTTCTAGTCACTACAGTAGAGAGAAGAAAAAAAGTAGTGGTCAATAAGGATACTACATTTACAGTTGCAGATCATGATTTCACTAAAATGGGAATCATACTGAGTGTAATAATGATATGTAATATACTCAAATCAATTAATGGCGATTTCTATTTAGGAAAAATGCATATTGGGTTAAAAGATCCAATCTTTCAACTTTCTTCACCTATTCGCCATTCAACAGAGCTGTATAACATACTTCTTAAAGAAAAACTTGATAATAAACCCGTATTGTATCTCTATACAGATGGTAGACCAGATCATTAGTACACATATGCTCATATTCAATTATCATATATTTGTCTTTTACTTGCGTTAGATCTTGATTATTTTGTTGCTGTTTGAACTCTATCACAATATTCATAGAAAAATCCTGTTAAACATATTATGTCAATTCTGAACTTAGGGTTACAAAGTGTTAGTTTAATGCGAATTAAAATGAATAATCAGTCAGAGAAATTAATGAGCAAATATGATATAATGAATGAAATTCGCAAAATTGCTGAGAAAAATTTTAACTTAAAGGGAGACCTAATCGCAAGTCTTTAAGTTCAAATTGGTTTACT